CAACTAAAAAATAAATATTTTTTTTAAAAAGAAAACTATCCTGTTGACATCATGAGATTTGGGGGAACTTAATTGTGAAATTAATAAATTACTATTTATTTCCTTGGGGATTTCTCACTATTGTTATTTTTTCAAAATGGAAATGTTCATTGATTTTAAAATTTTTCATTAGAAACTGCACTTATGAAAATGAAAACAAAACAAACTTTTAACAATAGAAAATTAAAATCAAAACCCTTACTTTCTCTGCCCCCAATCTTCATAATTCTTATAAAATAACCACTGTTAAAAAATTTGGTGCTGGCAATTCATAATAGCTAAATTGTGGATCCAACATAGATACCCTTCAGTAGATGAATGGATAAAGAAAATGCGGTATATATACACAGTGGAATATTACTCAGCATTAAAAGAAAATAAAATCATGGCATTTGCAGGTAAATGGATGGAGTTGGAGAATATGATGCTAAGTGAAGTAAGCCAATCCAAAAAAAATAAATAAATGCTGGAAGTCTTCTCTGATAAAGGATGCTGATTCATAATGGGGATGGGGGTGAGAGCATGGGAGGAATAGACAAACTTTAGATAGGGCAAAGGGGAGGAAGGGAGCATGGGGGTAGGAAAGATGGTGGAATGAGATGGACATCATTACCCTAAGTACGTGAAGACATGAATGGTGTGACTCTACTTTATGTTCAACCAGAGACATGAAAAATTGTGCTCTATTTGTGTAATATGAATTGAATTGTATTCTGCTGTCATATATAACAAATTTAGAATAAATAAAATTTTAAAAATTTTGGTGCTGGGCTGGGGTTGTGGCTCAGGAGTAGAGTGCTTGCCTAGCACGTGCAAGGCCCTGGGTTTGATCCTCAGCACTAAATAAATAAAGGTATTTAAAAATTTTGGTGCTTATTCTTTTAATTTTAATATATATAAACATGTGAATGTATCTTTATATCAATAAAAAATTTGTTTACATTTATTTCATATAAATAGGGGCATGTTATGTCATGGTTGTTGTTTACACAGTACATGATAGGTAGATTCTTTTACCTGTCAAATATCTAAAAACTTACCATTTCCATTTTAATGGTTACCCAGATTTAATTTATGAATAAACCATAATTTATTTAGCCATATGATAAAGTTTAAATTGCTTCTAGATTT